GTGGATTAGGTTGCTGCTCGGCACAACTTTTCCTGTGTGGACAGTAAATGTCATTAACCACATTTCTATAAGCGGATGAATATGTGACAGATAGTGAGGGGGTGGTTGCTGAGGGTGGTGAGGGGGTGATAGTGAGGGAGGGGGTTATGGTTATGGGGTGATGCTGAGGAAGGGGGATGATGGTGAAGGGGGTGATGAGGGAGGGGGTGATGCTGAGGGCAGGAGGGTGATGCAGGAGGGGGTAATGCCAGGGTGGTGAGGGGGAGTGATAGTGAGGAGGGTGGATGCTGAAGGAGGGGTAATGCTGAGGGCGGTGAGGGGGTGATAGTGGGGGGTGATCTCGAGGGAGGGGGTAATGCTGAGGGTGGTCGGGGGTTATAGTGAGGGGGATGCTGAGGAAGTGGGGGTGATTTGAGGGGGATAATGCTGAGGTGCGAGTGATAGCTGCAAGGATGCTGAGTGAGGAGTGATGGTGAGGGAGGGGGTAATGCGAGTGGTCAGGGGGGTGATAGTCAGGGGGGATGCTGAGGAAGGGGGTGATGGTGATGGTAATGGGGGTAATGCTGAGGGTGGTGAGGGGGGATGATGCTGAGGGTGGTGAGGGGGGGTGATAGTGGGGGGGTGATGCTGGTGGTCCAGTGTGGGCTGCCTGGTGGTCCAGTGGGCTCCCTGGTGGTCCGGTGGCCATTGCTTCCGGTCTGCAGCTCCGTAGAGCTGCAGACCATGTCATCTAGCGAGACCATCAGAGTGTTGCCGTGGTAACCCGCGGCAACGTTCTGATTGGCCAGTTCTCGCGAGACACATGGTCTGCAGCTCTGCTCACTGTGGGCCAGTGTCTGATGGCTGGCCGGGCAGCCATGAGGGGCCTCGCACCCAGCGGCATACCGGGCAAGCCACTGGGTCCCCACCTGGTGTCGGGTCCTCTGTCAGTGACCTTAGACTGTGTCTATCTGCAAGGGTGAGCAAACATATCTGCGCTACAGACTCCGATATGAGCAAACATATCTGCGCTACAGACTCCCATCTCAGGTAAGAGCCCTCACAGAAAGTAAACGACATAATGACACAGCCATGCAGTAAAAATAACAAAACAAAAAATAACATAACTACTTGACAAGCATTTAAGGTACACAAGCTCCATGTTAGGAGCAAGACATCACTAAAGGACAGAAATGTGAGGATAACAGGTCTGGCCTCCACAGCAAAAAAAACATAAAGCATAAACCAGCTTGCTAATATAGGACATTAGAACCCTCGAAGACTCAAACAAAAGCACTCAATCCCTAGACACATCCAAAAGCCTAATAGCAAAGAGGTCAGAATTACAATTGATTCTCAATGCACAAACCAAATGTAAACTCCTTCTGACCCACTCTATATACTACATGCAGGGAGGCAAATGCGGTAAAATGCTAGCCAGAAACTTGCAAAAACAACGCCAAAGCTCCTTCATAGCCAAAATGACGAAACCCTCAGGTGAACAATCACACCTCCTTCCTGCTATAATGCAATATTTGATATGTTTTACTCCAACCTATATAACCTTGGGGAAAAAAACTCTGACGAGAGAAAAATTATAGACTTTCTCCATACAAGACTGAAACAGACCATCCTCCCAGCCCTAGATGCACTTGTCTCCGAGGACAAATTCAATCTGGCCATTAAACACTTAACCACAGGTAAAAGTCCCGGCCCCGATAGCTTCACAATCACCTACATTAAAAAATTTGCCACAACACTATCTAAACCCTTCCTGACAGCGTTCAACTCCATCACCAATTCCACAACCCTGCCTAACTCTGCTTTAGAGGTCCACATTACACTGATCCCCAAACCAGGGAAAGACAGCAACCTGTGGAAGCTACCTCCCCATTTCCCTAATCAACATTGACCTAAAGATCTTTACTAAGATTTTAGCCACCCGTTTACATCACCTGTTGCAGGGTATCCGGTTAAATCCGGCCTTTGTCCATCCTGCTCAATCTGTATTCATAGTGGGTAGGGAAGCTAAAAATAACATAACCAAATAATTAAATCTTATCCATCTCTCCTGACACTCCAACGCCCAATGTATACTACTTTCAATTGATGCCGAAAAGGCCTGTGACAGGGTGCACTGGTCCCTCCTCTTTGTAACCCTTGACTTTATGGGTTTTGGCCCCAACTGGTTGAAATGGCTATCGGCAGTTTACTCGACCTCTAGCGCCCAAATCCGAATCAATGGACAATTGTCCAAACCAGTCCAAATCAGGAATGACATGAGACAGAGGTGCCCTCTGTCCCCACTATTATTCGTCCTGACAATGGAACCGTTCCTCCAGGGGATCAGAGATCACCCACATATTCATGGCCTCTAAGTCAAAAACAGCGAATATAAAATTGCGGCCTTTCCGGGTGACCTCTTATACACACTAACAGATCCACTGACCTCTATGCCTCACCTTATTGATGAAATTTCCCAATACAATGAGATATCTAACTTCCTGGTCAACTTCACTAAAAGTGAAATTTTACCATTGCATCTTAATCAGGACACGGTAGTCTCCCTATAACAAAGGTTCCCATTTACATGGACTACCTCAGCAATCACATATCTAGGGGTCAAACTGCCACAGGACTTATCACAATTATATAAACGTAACTTCCCACCTCTATTACAGGTCGCCTCTACAGACCTCGCTGCATGGAACTTGCCACACTATGGCGCATACACGTTCTAAAAATGAATATCCTCCCTAGATTCCTCTATCTCCTACAAGTAAAATTGCCCTGGACCGCCCACCCCCATACATCTTCCCTGCCCCCCCCCATTTGTATAATATAACACATACAGATACATACATGGAAACACATGCTAATACACAGACACACAGAATGACACACATTCAGATACACAGAATGACACTTCTACAAATACAAAGACTGACACACATACAGATACACAGACACACACTGACACATATGCGGATGCACAGACACATACAGAGAGATACACATACACAGAATGACACGCATACAGATACATAGGGGCACACACTGACACACATGCAGACAGATACACATGCAGACACATGCAGATAAACAGATACACATACAGATATACATATGCAGATACACATACACACATATAGACACGCATGCAGATACACAGATACACTTAAGGACAAAAAGTCAGATACACAGAATGATATGCATATTGATATAACCAGTGACACACATACAGATACATAGGGGCACACACTGGCCCACATACAGACAAACAGATACACATGCAGACACATATATACATACAAATATGCAGACAAACAGATACACATACTGACACAGACACACATACAGACAGATACACATATAGACATGCATGCAGATACAGAGGCACACGTACTGACAAACATTCAGATACACAGGATGACACACATACAGATATCAACTGTGACACACATACAGATACATTGAGGCACGTACTGACACACATGCAAACAGATACACATACAGACATACAGATACACATACAGACTCACATGCAGACAAACAGATACATAGACAAAGAGATATACATAGATATAGAGATACACATACATACAGACACACACACATGCAGACACACAGATACAGACATTCTCACACACACACACATGCAGATACACACACATGCATACACACACAGATACAGACATTCACAAGCACACAAACTTACAGACACACAGATACAGACATTCTCTCACACACACATACAGACACACATATATACATATACACACACACATACAGACATTCACACACATACATACAGACACACAGATATACAGACACACACTCACATGCAGACACACACACATGTAGATACATTCTCATGCCTACTAGATGACATGGCACAGTAACTAAAACCTAGATCTGAATTTCTTACCAGAGGGATTCCCTTAATACATACTGAGCACCACCACTCCCATTCTATAGTCATAATTGGAGAGCATGCAACGATGATAGTGATTATAGCGCCGAACCTGTGCATGCTTGAGTCTGTGGGTAGCATGTGGCGTCGAACGGTTTTTGCATCGAGTTTTGGAGCCATTCTGGAAATTTTTGCAGTGGTGGTGTATTTCTAAAGCAGTGGAAAGGTAGGGAGCTGAACTTTGTCAGTTGCATGCCTTTTACTGTGTGTTCTGCATTGTGGGTTGGTTTCCATGCCAGATCATGTGTTGTGCATGACTTTTACTGTGGTTTCCATGCCAGCTCATGTGTTGTGCATGCCTGTTACTGTGTGTTTTGCATTGTGGGGTGGTTTCCATGCCAGCTCATGTGGACAGAGTTTTAGGGTTTTCATTAGCTTGTGTGGATTGACTTGGGGCTCTTGGACTGGAGCATTGATAGTCTGGATTTGGTTGCAAAGCATTTTTGAAACTTAGTGACTGTAGTGTCATGGCATCCATGAAAGCAGCAGGAGCTGGAAAGAGGAAGAAGGAGATGATTCTGCTCGAGGAAAAAATCATCAGGAAGCATGAAGGAGGAATGCGATTGACTGATCTCGCCAAAGAGTATGGAAGGAGTGCATCCACAATCGTTACCATCCTAAAGATGAAAAAGAAGATAACTGGGAGAGATGCATCCAAGGGAGTCGCCAGGGTCACCTAGCAATGGCCACCTGTTCTGGAGGAGGTCGAAAAGTTGCTCCTGTTCTGGATTGAAGAGAAGCAGCGTGCAAGGGACACAGTGACTGAGGCGATCATCTGTGGAAAAGCCAAGGCCTTGCACGCTGACCTCCTCGACCAACAACCAGGAACATCAGCCGATGCTGAAGTCTTCAAGGCAAGGAAGGGGGGGTTTGAAAGGTTCAAGACCAGATCTGGCATCCACAGCTGGTCAGGCATAGAAAGGCTGCGTGTTCCGATGTTGCTGCAGCTGAGGAATTTGCTACTGAGTTCCTGGAGGTCATGGTTTAAGAGGGCTACCTTCCTCAGCAGGTCCTCAACTGCAACAAGACTGGGTTCTTCTGGAAGTGGATGCCAAAGTATACCTTTGTCACGGAAGAGGAGACCTCATTGCCTGGCCACAAGCTGATGAAAGATTGTCTCACCCTCCTGTTCTGCGCAAACACCAGTGGGAACCCCTGCTTGCCTACCACTCAGAACTCACTGTCCTTCAAGAAACACAAGGTGAACAAAGAGCAGTTAAGTGTTTTGTGGCAGTCCAACCCAAAGGCTTGGGTCACACGCCTCTTGTTTGTGCTGTGGGTCAATCTGGTTTTTGGTCCTGCTGTCAAGCAGTACCTTGTGGACAATAACCTGCCACTCAAAGCCGTGCTGCTCATGGACAATGCTCCTGCTCATGCTCCAGGCTTAAAGGAAGACTTGCTGGGGGACTTAAACTTCATCACGGTCATGTTAATTCAGGTTAACACCACCCCACTACTCCAGCCAATGGACCAGCAACTCTACACAAAGGAGCTTTTCCGGCGATGCTTTGAGATGACAGATCGTGAGCTGTCTGCAGATTATCACCATTGCCTGGGCCTGGGTTAGCCAGAGAAACCTAAAGTCTGCTTGGCACAACCTGTGGCCAGACTGTGTTGTGACACCTGCCTCCAATGCTTCTGCACAAGAGTCAACAGTGTTGGAGGATATTGTTTCCTAGGGGAGGACCCTGGGGCTGGAGGTGACTAAGGAGGATGTCTGTAAGCTGGTGGAGGGACACGACCGTGAGCTAACCACCGAAGACCTGGTGGAACTGCAGAAGGAGTTGATGGAGGAGACGATCTCATTCGAGGAGGAGGAAATGAGTGAGGAACAGCTCTCTTCCAGGGAACTCAAGGAGGCATGCCAAATGTGGGTAAAACTACAGACGTTTGTACAGCAGCACCACCCAGATAAGGCTCTAGCCCAGAGACTTGTTGTGACGGAACACTGGCACCTCAGCCAATTGATGCTCCTAGTGCTTGCCGAGGACTCCAAGCACTCCAACCATCACCATCAGCACTGCAGACCCCACTTCCAGCAATGCAGCTGCGCTAGGGTCTCGCCATCTTTCACCCACCCTGGATCCAGCTTCCAGTGGGCAGGCCTCTCTTCTCCCAGAAAGAGTAGCAGGAACAAGAACAGCTCTTACAAGAGCTTACCCTGGGGAGTATAGTGTGAATATAGCAATCCCCAGAGTGTAGTTATCCCATCCCCCAAGCATGAGCCAAGGCTTCAAGAAGGGGTAAGTGGTTCTGTTTAATGGAAGCAAGCACTCACAATTTATACAATTCCCCAGGCCAGAGGCACACCCCCTGGACCTGATGGTACACAGGCATACAAAGGACACAAACCAATCAAAACAATACAACAATGTCTGACACTCCCATTCATTACAGCAAAAATCTCCCCTCTGCCTGTGATATAATTACTGAACACAGTGGGCTAACGTAATTATCACAGGCAGGAAAATATACAGTTTTACACAATATTCATAACTTTAAAAGTATACATCATATTCACATAAAACTTACATATTCCGAGCCAGCATACGCAGTATACAAACATATGTCAAAATCATTTAAATTGGTCCAGTGGTTCAAAAGTTAGGTGGAAGTCCTTTTTGACTGACTGCAAGCATGGCTTGGGTGTGGTAAGTCAATTATCTCCAGGTACAGAAAATATCTCTATTCACAACAACAGCAAAAATACACAAAAATACATAATTCCTATCATACTGAACAGAACCCCCACATTCATCTAAGCGGATCTAAGCGCTCAATATATCCGAACAGCGCTCAGATCCCACAAACACAGTCAAATCGCCATGGGGTTTAAGTTTAGCAAGGGCTGATGTAGAGATTGAGGAGGAACAAAGCAGCCAGTTTAAACTGGTCTGGCAGTGTCCCGGGGACAACACCCTGCTGGAGAACAATGGGACAGGAAAAGGTACATTCTCCCATGGAAACAAAGGTGCAGAATTGTGCCAGTTCCAGTTAAAAAGCCAGAACAGTCTTTTAAACACCAATAAGTCCAAATAGTGTTTTTAACTGGCAAAGTCTCCCAAGGTCCATAGTCACATGGCAAGAGGCCGGCAATTAGTCCTCTCCAGGCACAAGTGGCGAAGGGCACTTCATCACACTTGTGAAAAGTTTTGACACCAACATCATGTCCACTTTTAGAGGGATGCTTAAAAGACGCCAGAGGCAACAGGCAATGGAAAGGTTCCTACAAAAACAGCCTAGACATGAAGAAGAACTTGCTTGTTAGTACTGCCCAGTTGCCCTCTTCCTCTTCCAAAAAGTGTTCAAATTTTTTTTGAAAATGTTGAACAGTTGAAGTTTGCCATGTTTTCCCTGTTGAAATGTACTGTACCATATTTGAAAAGTTTGCCATGTTTTAAAAGTTGAAGTTGGATGTTTGAAATGTTATTGCTTGATTGATCATGTCCCTGTCCAGTATTTATGCCTTTAAGGTGCACTCTATAAAGAGTTTTGAACAGATAAAACTTTTTTTCTGACCTCCGGAACGGATTAATTGGTTTTCAATGCATTCCTATTGGAAACTGCATTTCGGTTTACGAATTTACTGCGTCTCGGAGAATTTATTTAGAAATTTGGCAACAGTCAATGTGCGGTCTAATTTTTTTTTTTTAAATCTCTTTATATCCAGTACATGTGCATCTTGTGGCGATATGTGTAAATGTCAGTGATTATTTCCCAATGTCAATAATTACAATTATTTATATAACATCAACATTCTACAGTTCTGTACAAAAGGTAGAACAAACAAATCTAACAAAACACATTTGACATACCGTATATTTCCGTGTATGAGAATAAGATGACCCCTATTTTTTAGCTTAAAATTAAGAAATAAATATTTTAAACATCAAATATGACAAATTTGATATGTTAGAGGTGACTTCTGTGGAGAATAGCAAACTTCTGATTCTCATGCCTCCCCTGTGCTAAGATACTCTGTGAAGTTAATGGCTCCATAATGCATACTGGGAGACTTTAGCTCCAACAATACAGAAGGTGGTGTGAGGACATGCTGGGACCTCACAGCAGTATTCCATCTGCTCCCTGATCCCAATTTCCATCCCTATAGATATAAATCAGAAAGCAAGACCTACCTGAGGTGGAGCATACCTTAATATAGCTGCTCCTTTTATGGTGTGGCATGTCTCTGGAGCTCCATTGGTGGTAAGTGCTAACGTCTGCTGCAGCTCCCACGCATATAGGGACCTCTTCCTCCTTGTCCCAGCATTCAGAAGTGGATTGGCGGGAGGGAAGCCAGGTGTTTTTTTGTTTTTTTAAAGCTCTGTAGTAACATTCTGTGTTTAAGACGACCCCCAATTTTATCAGTCTTATACATGGAAAAATACGGTACATTGACAGTAAATGAAGAGGGCCGTGCCCAAATGAGCATGCAATCTAAAAATAAACAATGAAAGGGTTACTGCAAACACCATGATCACTTAACTGATATGACGTGGTCATAGTGCCTGAAGTTTGTGGTGCACATATGGCAGTTAACTCCTCTGCTGCTGGAGATTTCTCTACCTCGGGCAACATCATAGGGACATCATTAGCCAGCACGGAACTAGAGTTCTGAGAGGCTATTGTTAATTCCATTCATAATTGGTGTCTGATGCCAGCACGCATATTTTTAGTTGGAGTAACCCTTTAATATTATATTTCCATCAATGTCCCTATTCAGTCAGAGATGCCTATTTTATCTAAACATAAAAGGTATACGGAACATCAGTAGTTATCACAGGAGAAAGAAAGGGAAGCTGTAAAAGTCTCCAATGTGAGTATAAAATAGGAAAAAAGAACAAAAAAGAAAATCCCATTATAGTATTTAGAAAAGGTCAAAGAACAGATGAACCTGCACAGTCTGCTCTGGGGGAACCTGCATCCAAACATGAAAGGTCAGTTGTATGAGAAGCTTTCAGTAGCAATATTTTGTACTAATTAACTGTAGGATGCCTGAAATCACAAGCATATTTCATGTTTTGCATTTTAGAAAATTAGAGGGAACATTTTTACAAGCAAGTATGATCATCTTATGCAAAAATATTGCATACTATTTTAAATTAAAAAATGGTGACTAATTATAACCTATCTTGGCAACAGCAGGGATATGGGTCCATGGGACAAAAATAAATATCAGATATGAAACTAAATAGAAAACTGTACAAAAGATTTTCAGACATCAAAACAAGAAACTTAAAAGTTCACTGAAACATAAAAGGGACACTCTAAGCACCAAAACCACTACATCTTAATAGGATACAGAAAAACATATTCTCCCTAGATAAACAACAAGGTATAAAGCAGACATTTGTAATATAAAAAACAACAGGCAAACCAGACTAAAATATAAAATACTCCCAATGTTCTTCTGATGATCACAGATCTTATGTGGTGAAATCCTTTCTCATAAGGTGCATTTGCAGAAACAAATTTAACAAAGGGGATATATACTGATAGTGTGGTATGTGACACAATGAGTGGATAACATACAACATGAAGTCTGTAGGTGCCCACTCACATTTAGTAGCGCTATCATACAAGCTCTGGTAGTTACAGTGTGTAATGGTACAATCCCCACTGGTGGATGAAGGTATGATTTCTCCCATGGTCACAGAGAAATATGTAAAGACAAACCAAAATACCCAATAGCACATTGTTAACTTAAAGTGACTAAAGTGCTAAAAATAGGAATTGTACCCCCAAACATACAGCTTTTACTAAAGCTCAAACTTAGCAGGTATACAGTCAGGTCCATAAATACTGGGACATCGACACAATTCTAATCTTTTTGGCTCTATACACCACCACAATGGATTTGAAATGAAAGATGAAAGATGTGCTTTAACTGCAGACTTTCAGCTTTAATTTGAGGGTATATACATCCAAATCAGGTGAACGGTGTAGGAATTACAACAGTTTGTATATGTGCCTCCCACTTTTCAAGGGACCAAAAGTAATGGGACAATTGGCTGCTCAGCTGTTCCATGGCCAGGTGTGTGTTATTCCCTCATCATCCCATTTACAAGGAGCAGATAAAAGGTCCAGAGTTCATTTCAGGTGTGCTATTTGCATTTGGAATCTGTTGCTGTCAACTCTCAATATGAGATCCAAAGAGCTGTCGCTATCAGTGAAGCAAGCCATGATTAGGCTGAAAAAACAAAACAAACCTATCAGAGAGATAGCAAAAACATTAGGTGTGGCCAAATCAACTGTTTGGAACATCGTTACAAAGAAAGAATGCACTGGTGAACTCAGCAACACCAAAAGGCCCGGAAGACCACAGAAAACAACTGTGGTGGATGACCGAAGAATTCTTTCCCTGGTGAAGAAAACACCCTTCACAACAGTTGACCAGATCAAGAACACTCTCCAGGAGGTAGGTGTATGTGTGTCAAAGTCAACAATCAAGAGAAGACTTCACCAGAGTGAATACAGAGGGTTTACCACAAGATGTAAACCACAGGAAGGCCAGATTAGAGTTTGCCAAACAACATCTAAAAAAGCCTTCACAGTTCTGGAACAACA